AGTAAAACAAAAATGTTTTTTTGTGGCCCTGGGGTTTTTTTTTTTTTTTTTTTTTTTTTCAATTGCCAAATGACATGTGCAGTTCTCAGAAAGAGACAGAAACAGAGAGGGAGAAAGCACCCCCAGTGGGGCATCATCCTCATCCCTGTCTTTCACTTCTCTATCCCGTGAGGATTTCAGGCACACTCTTGTGCTCAGCATGGTTTCCAAGCCACCGAGGCTGGAATCTGAACCAGGGCTGACTGTGTGGGATCTGGCCCTCGAGCTCTAGGTTACCGGGTTGGCCCACGTTTTGAGTTGGCATTAGGAACTATTATGGCCCATGCTTCCCGTGGACCTGGGCATTACTGTGGAGAACGTGGAGGAGGCGAGCTGAGCCTCTGCCATGTCAGGCACTGTGTTCAGCGCTCATGCACATGGCCTCCCCAAGCACTCCCCTCCCCGGGAGCCTGCCCCACATCAGACAGACCGCCGGTAGACTGGAAGCAGCGCGTGTGTAGCGTGTTCGTGTCACAGTCCCGTCTCCAGTTCTCCATCCAGATTTTGGGCCTGCACATGCTTGCACCCTACATGTCTCTTAAGCCCGTGGGGCCAAGATTTGAACTAGGGTCAACCATGCAGGATCCAGCTCTTAGCCGTGAGACTTGAAGCTTGGGTCCTTTAGGGTGACAGAGTTTTGTGACTATGTGGCTGTCTTCCTTGCCTCTGTCTCCCAAGTAGCTGGGACTACCATGCCTCGCTTTGAGGGTGGGCCAGGATTCAAACCCTGGTGCTGAGTAGCAGCATGGACAGCACGCTCCATCATGACTGGTGGATCACCGCTCTGTCCTCCTAGGGCCGCCTTAGAGGGTTTCCTTTAGGTGAGGAAGGCCCTGGAAGTGCTGTCCAATTCAATATGTGGCTGCTTAAGTATCATAACGAGCCACATGTGGCTACTTCAGTGTAATTAAGATGAAATAAAACTAGTCATTTACCCAGCAACACCCTAGCCACACTGCAAGTGCTGAATGCCCACCTGTGGCTGCTGGTTACCACATTGGAGAGTAGAGAGTTTTCATCATCGCAGGAGAAGATTGCTTTGAAAAATCATGAAATTAGGAGTTACACATGAAGGCCAATTAGAAACATGGGGGCAAATGTCAGACATCTGACTTTTATTGGCTTTGTGATCGCTCATTTAATGAGTGATAATGTCAGATGACTAGGGTGATTTTCTGATTAATTAGGCTTTTTCCTTTTTCCATTTTTCCCCCCCCTGAAGTTTTTTGCCATAGGGCACATGTACTTGCCCAAGAGAGACAGTGAGAAGGAAAGTGAGAGAGACATCATCCCCTGGGGAGTAGCCAGACCATAATCCCCTCTCCTTCATCCTCTTCCTGGAATTTGGGCACATACACAGAGGCACCGGGCGTGATTTTCAAGCCACTGGGTCTGGGACTCAAACCGCCATTGGCCATATGGGAGTCCAGCACCTAAATCACAACGCCACCTACTTGCCCCTCACTACGCATTTTCAACAGCTGACGGAAGTCACAGGTTGTGGAAGATCAAGTTTATGGCAAATTGTAGAAGTTGGTATTTGTAGTGACCTCGAAGGATCTGAGACTAAAGTTAGCTAGATGCTACAGTATGGTTAGGGAGAAGGCACGGATGTTAACACACGTAGCACGTAGGGCCAGCCCCACAGCCTGGTGGTTAGGGAGCTGGAGCCCACGTGACTGAAGACAGTTTGAATTCCAGACCTAGTGCCTTAAAAACATGCTGTGTGTTGGACCAGCAGACGGCGTAATGGTTATGTCTCTGGACTCCCATGTAGTTGACCACAGCTCGAGTCCCAGACCCAGCGGCTCAAAACTCACACAGGGCGTGTGTGCGTGTGTGTTCAAAATCTCAAGAGGAGAGGGAACCAGCAGTTAGCGTAATGGCTATGTCGCTGGACTCCCACGTAGTCGACCACGGTCCGCGTCCCGGACCCGGTGGCTTAAA